TTTTTTTTTTGTCAGGGCTCACCTTTTCAAGGAGGACGCTTTCCCTCCTTGTTCACACTCCACTCCCAGGGCTCGCCACAGAAAGGCGCACGACGAGAACAGAAGAAAGACGTATGTTTGTGTTTCGTAAAAAGCAGCTAAGGCACACATCACTCCAAGAGTCTGTCCATGTAAAAGTTTATCATAAAAACATGTTAGTCTATCTGGAAAACAGGTGCATTGTTAGCACTTATGCAGAATACATTTTTAACGCACATTGACAACATACAACAGCCATGCCAATAGAGGACTGACGGAAGTCAGCAAAGCTACTATTGGGGACACGTCACGATAACCGTACGTCGTGTGCATGACACCAAAAAACTGAACCATTGCGAATCCAGTGTAGAAACGCCGCATGCCATTAAGAAAGCGAGCTGTTGTACTCAAAAACACCTGCGTTATAAGACAAACAGAAATTCTTTAAAGTTGGAAACAGTGTGATGCCTCCCTACACAGGGTACTCCAAAAAGGTGCACTGTTAGTGGCGGTTGTAGGGGAACATTCAACAAGCTGGCCCACCCTGCCGCCAACTGAAATTGCCAGTTTCACTTCGCTCTGCTGGCAACTCTGTTCGGCAGGGCCCAGGTGCCAGGCCTACTCGACCTGCCGTTGGCATTTTTTGGGGCCTTCTTGGCCTAAAATATTAACCTATTAAAAGGGGAAGAGGAGGGGGATACTTTATCTACCGTTTTGTGATTTGAGGCCTCTTTCTACAAATTAATGTTACCGCAATTTTTCGCTTATACCCTGTAGTGTCCGAACGGTGCAAGATAGAGCCAAACGAACGAAATTATCGTTCAAAGGACCCTATTGGCACATGATTTACCGTGTTTTACCTTTGTAAACCATTTCTTTCACAACTGAATCTCCTTAACCCTTTAGGGTGCCATGGCGTCACCTGACATGATGTTTGCGCACATCGAGCGCGAAAACCACCGCACTCTGACATTTAAATCTAGTGCGTACGTGAAGGGCGTACGTGAAGGGGAAGGTTTTGTGAACGATTTGATACCCACGTTCGATAGTATCGCCCCATCGAAGTCCCGCTTCTACTCACTAAAGATGGCGAGACGCAAGACATCGCCAGCGTCACCTCGGTCTGTTCGAACGTTTTCAACTCAATCAAAGGTGTGTGCATATAGTTCAAGAACCGTAGAATACCGTAGCCTGGCCAGATTTTTAATTTGCTTCCGTCTTTATAAATCTATGGTGCTTACAATATAGATGTCGTCAAGTGACGCCATCGCAGCTTGCCGTCACCGTTTCCGTTACTGTGGCTGCTTTGTGATACAAAAAGATTTGACCAGCGGCATATGTTCACTTTTTTCAGTTTCAGTTCACATTTCACTCATGAGCCAACATAAGCGCGTAAGTCCACCAACCCTAATTTTACAGGAGACACTAAAAACATTCCAGATTGAAGATCTGTAGTGGTAACCAAATCTGCTTGGCACACCTAGGAAGTAAAAATTATCAGCAAACAAATGGTATCAAAATATTTTTGTAAAAGTTAATAAGAGACACTATAATATTACTAGTTTAGGGCAAAAACAACGAAAGTCCACATGAGAGCAGTGTAAAACAGCGAATGTCCATGGTTTAGCAAAACAAAACAGCGAAAGTCCAGGTCTGGGCTGACATAACAGCGAAAGTCCACAGGCTTTTTGGACTTTCGCTGTTGTGATAGCCCAGACCTGGACTTTCGTTCGTTTGTTAGCTCACACATGGACATTCGCTCTTTTAAAGGACTAAACTGTGGACTGCTATTTTCTATTTAAAAACTTCGGTATAAACATTCCTGTGTATTGTTTTCTATATGTGCACTAGAGTATTATACAGTATAAAATGTTGACTTTAACCTTTTAATGGGACAAATAGTGAAAATGCTTTTAAAAATACTCACAAATTACCACAGAAATAAACAGAAGTTAACTTACTTTCTTTTAACCATTTGTACACAAGAACAGATGACTGTTGACAGTGAAGTCAACTTTACAACATCATAAACCTATATTATGGTGGATTTAGTCTCGTCTGACACGTGTCTTCACGGTGAGGCGGCCTCACTGAGGACGCTGGCCTCAGATGTTTTCGAGGACTGTGATTGGCTGAAAACCTCTGTGACTAGCGTCCTCAGTGAGACCACCTCACTGTGAAGACACGGTTCACACGAGACTAAATCCAACATCAATGACTAGTTTGTTGTATGCAAATATGTAGCTGGAGTTAATCATGTGGAAAAAGCTTGTTCAAGAAAAGTACAACCATTCTGGTTTTCAAGGAGCTTGTCAAGTAAGTTATCTTAAAAATACCCGTGGTGAAATAACAAAAATGGGAACACAGTGTAAATTTTAAAGATAGATGGCAAAGATGTAGTTTTATAGAGCATGGTGAATGGCTACTGAATTTGCTGAAGTAGAATGTGCGTCCACGGCTGATGTGAAAAAAAACACAATAGTCTTGTTTTGGACTGTCAAAAAAGCGAATGTCCAAGTCTGGTCCAACAAAAGAACGAATGTCCATGTGTGAGCTAACATAAGAGCGAAAGTCCAATAATTTTGTGGACTTACGCTGTTATGTCAGCCCATAGCTGGACTTTCGCTGTTTTGATCTGCAAATGTATGGCCTTTCGTGGTTTTGGTTTGCCCAGATGAGGACATTCGTTTCTTTGTTGGCTCAAGGGTGGACTTTCGCTGTTTGGTACTGCTCTGAATCTCTGCCGTTTACTAAGATATTTTAAATCCGGTTACACAGAAAGATGCGTCTCAGTTTGTAGAATATACTGCTAACGAAAACCTGAAATGAGTGAAATCTGGATTTACGTGCTTATGTTGGCTCATCAGTGATTTTAGCATTGGACATTATCATTTTGAGCGTTTTAATTTCTATTTTGGTTGTCTACGAGGTACAGGCGTTATAATGACAAATGCAGCAACTACGCAAAAAACCCTACAATTTCTACAATTATTAATGGAAACTGGGTCCCCAGGCAGTTTTGAATAGGTAAACAGTTGTCGATCACGATTTTGTCCGGAAAACAGGAATTGTTCATGAAATATTCGAAGAATTACGATGTTAATGTACTTCACATGATACTGGAGTATGAAAAGAACACATTAAAAATTTAGAAATTACAGGAGAACACCATATTTGAGTAAATATCGATGGATTTAGGTCACACTGACGTGTGCTACCAAAAAAGTTGTCTTGGACCCCCGGGCTAGAAAAGAGTCTTGAGCCCGCCCCCATGACCGTAGGGAGGGTGCAATGGCGTCATGTGACGACAACTCCAAAAAATAACTGGGAACTACCGGGAAAACGTTTTTTTGGGTCTTTTGTGTTGCTTGGGACCCAAAGAGACAGAATATGAAGAAACAATTTTTCTCACTGCTGGTCTATTTTGGCACCTTAAAGGGTTAAGGAAGAAGATCCTATCTCTGAAATTGTCATAATTTATGATCCTAACACTTTTGTAGTTCAGATTGTTTTTTTCCAAACCTCAGAAATGAAAACTGCTCATGAACTATGGACACGTCCTACAATCTGAGTAACAACAATATGCCCCTCGTTGTTGGCTGAGTGATTAGCGAAGCCCCTTACTCCGTCTGGTCAAAAAAAAAAAAAAACAACTTTGTCTGTCTGTCTGTCTGCACGGTAACTCGAAAACGAATTGAGCTAGCGACCTGGGATTTTCAGGGTCGTTTTGTATTATAACAAGCAGGCCCGCCCTTCCGCCAAGGGGCCGGGCCTGCTTGGCCTACCGCCGGCGATGGTCCGGCCTGCGGCCCGACCATTTCTGTCACGCGCTCGCTTTGCTTGCTTGCTTTGAGTTTGCCCCGTAGACACGAGAAAGGTATGTAACGGTGAAGCACCGCGACTACAACCCACCCTTCTGCTTAGAAGACGCTTTTTGGGGTCGGGGGAAGAGAGTTTCTTTCCTATTT